AAGTGCTGGAGGTGACCCCACTTAAGCCCTATCTTGCTGATTTTGTGTTCCGTTCCTGTCACATCACCCCATGCCCTTTGCTCTTCGACCATGTCCATCACTCCTTCACAGGGCTGCTTGTTAGTCTCTCCCTCTCCCTTCATTCCTGGTTTAAAGCTCTCCTTACGCGGTCAGCTGTCCTACTGGCAAAAATAGCTGTGCCCTGCTTAGTGAGGTGGATGTCATCTCTCTCAAGCAGATGGTCATCTGCAGGCAGGGTCCCATGGTCATACAACTCAAAACCTGGTCACCAACACCAGTTCTGCAACCAGTTATTGACTTGTCCTATTAATGCCTTTCTCCTCATTTCCCCTCACTGGCAGGATCAAGGAAACATCATTTGGGCCCCCATGCCCGTGATTCTTGCTATTTATCTGCTACTGCCCTCCTGCTTCATCATATAGTTACTTCAAGCTACCCAAAGTAAAAGTTGGTATGAATCATCTTTACTCAATGCACTGGCTTTGAGTAAGCTGAACAGTGTAAATGTCACCTTTGAGTTGTGTGTCTATACAAAAGAGCTGCTTGCACACAAACAAAGCACTTCACTGGTGTGTGCTTATCAAATCCTGTATACACGGGAGAGAAAGAATTCAGAGTTGCTTGTTAAATTGTGATGTTATGGGAGCTTAGTGAATAAACAGCTATCAGAAATAACATATCACGTGGTATTTAATGTCAGCATTAATTTAGTGCACTTATTTTTCTTGTAAACACAGAGTTACTATTACTAATGTTAATTTTAAGCCTCCTTCCATATATGAATGAAAAAATAGCTTTATGATAGAAGATAGACATACTGAGATGCTAGTTGTATATACTAGTTATACACTCGTTAACAAATTTGTACAACTTAATCACTATTGTTGGACTGTATAAACAACACTGATTAGAGCAGTTTTATTTCATTATTAAAATAATGCAAACCTGACTACCACTTGGAAAATGAAAGTCATTGTTGCTGCCTAAACTTTCATATTTTGCATTTATAACTTAAATTTGCTAACAGAAAGTTGATAGCAGCCATTCTGTTTGTGGCTTGCATTTGCACTTAATTACTTTTGATTCTTGAGAATAGATAAGATGAGGTGCAACAGTAACAAGTTACTAGAACAGCAAGGTGGCATTATTTTTCCAAACTCTGATAGCCTATGAAAATGACACTCATTTGAATATGAATTTTTCAGCAGTAATTCATGTAAATGTTTACTCATGCAATGACCCATCCAAACATCCTCCTCGTATTTAAACAATACAGTTAAGGAAAAAAAATAGTAAGGGAATTGCCATGCAATCATATCAGCATTTCCAATATGCTAACAAAACTCTGAATTCCAAAATTTGTGTATTTCAGCTAATTCCTGGGAAAGCACAGGCTTTCTAGGTTGGCGCAGCTTAGGAAAGTTCTTATGCAGAGTTTGTTTCATAGAGAAGAGAAAAGATGTAGCCTGATGGACTTCTTGGCTGGTGGGCCATATGCAAGGCACATTCACTGTCTAACTGGGTAAGAGAGTAGGCAATTTTTTTTTAAACACAGGCAATAGATTGCCCAAGGCAGGAGCAGACAAACCTAGGAGAGTAGGGGGTACTCACGGTCTGCTCTTCGTGAGCTAAGATCTCCAAGTCCAAATGAAGTCTGGGTATCACACAGGATGTGGAAGACATTTCTGAGCAGACTGCCTTTATAAACTCAGTAATGCTCTCTAGCAGCTAATTCCACATATTCATTGTCTGCCCTTAATTCTTTTCTTTTATAGATTTAAACATATTTCAACATCCTTGTTTCTCTCCTTGCTCCTTAAAGTGAGTGAAACACTGCCTTTTTAACCATCGATTTCCCTCTTGTGTCAACTTGCATACTGCCACTTACTGTTGATCTAGAAAATTTTGATGTCTGGTGGCTTGGGTTTTTTTGACTCCTATCTATATACCATAATAAGAGAGGACATGAACTTGACATGCATTAAAAACACTGATTTATTCAATTGTATACTTTTACAGTAAGTTTTTTATCCCATTCTTCACCTATCTCGATATTCTTCCCTCCTTAGCAAGCAAGTGCTCTTATTGAGCAGTTCACAATAAACAACCACCCCATTCTTTTCCATGGTAATCTTCAAATTCAATCTAAAATGCAGTAACAGACACAAACAGTTCAAATTATTAGTTTTAGTATTGCTTACCTTTTCAGTACTAAATGTCCAGTTACTAAATGCTGTACAGTCATATAGCTGCTAGGTTTTTCTGCAGTGGCTGTCAGCCTTCTCCAGTTCTGAGTAATGCAAATAATGTGTCCTCTGTCACTCGCGTCAGAAGAATTTTGCACTTTGTGACACCACACATTTACACATCACCAATCACTTCTGATTTTAGTGCAAATTTTGGGAGAAGCAGCATTAGACTGTTCTGCTCTCCTCTCCGTTTCTGTTACTTCTGAAGCTTCTAATTTGTGATTATCTAGTCTTCAATTTTGTGTTTGCAGATTTTGTCAGGGTCATTTTGGAAAACCTGTCGTATTTTCTGCCTTTTTGGTCATACTGCAAGGAGTGTGGTTTTTCTGTTAACTGTGTAGTTGTGTAAAAGCTCTTTATCTTCTTTTATCCAGTGGGATAACATCAGTCCTATACTTTAGGAGAGAGGAAGGAACTGGCTCTTTGCAGCTTGCTCCGTCTTTACCCTTTGGTAGAACATTAAAATGTCTCCTTCTCTCTGTTGCTCTTTTTGTCCAGAACACCCATCTCTCTCCCTGGCCCATGCCTGAGAGTAGGCCCTTCACCCTACCACGAAAATCCTCCTTTACTCTTTGTGGTTTTGCCAACTTACCAAGTCAGCACATAGTACAGGGCGATCTGCGGTGCCGCACCAGCGACAGGGAGAGCGGGCGCTCCCGTTTGGCTCTGCGGACCTGCCCAAGTGCTTCCACGCCTCCCAAACTGCAGAGCAGGTGCTGCTCTGCAACATCAGCTGTGACAACTTTAACATTAGAGAGCCCTTGTAAGGTGGGCCAACCCCTTCCCCAGCTAAAAATTATGAGCTTTACAGAAGCTGGCTTCAGAACAGTTATTAAAGAGGGAGAAAAGCGAGTGAGAGGAAAAGACCCAACCTTACATGTCAGAGTGTACAACAGAGGCTGATGTACAACAGAGGTACAACAAAAGGCCCAGAAGACAGTAAGGACAATAAAATAGAACTAAGACATAGTAATGTTTCATTTTATTTGGTAGAAAGTCGCTTCAAAAATATGATTAACTATATACATTCTTATATGCTGTACATACAATTACATATACAAAACGTACATAATAGCAAACATCCTTCTGTTACATTTTATGGATGGTAGTAACATGAGATAGAACTTACATCATATTTCATACCTGCTTTCATCCTGATCCTATCTACAAGGAACTGATAGCCATGAGAGATGAAAAAGGCTAGCAGATCACTTAATACATACCCCAGCCCACACAGAAGTCTTCTCCACAGTGCATTTTATTAGTGCGTTGTTCTAGTGCAGTTAGGTTTGCAGCACTTTCCTTTACAGGTATTTGGCTGCTAACCTTATCTTAAGATTTTTTTTCCCAGCATTCACCCTAATACTATTTCTAATTTATTTCTATAACTCAGATCTCCAGGGTTATAGAAATCCTCCTCAAATCAAGCTAGATTTCTTCAACTTCATGTTGCTTTTCTTTTTTTTTTTTTGTTTCCCATCTTGATTCTTTAGTAGCTTGTTTGCCACGTATGAAATAGATTTAACTATTAGTACTTTCTGTTCTGGGAGAAGTACACTCAAGCGTGAAAGCTGTAATCCAGGCGTTCTCTCCTTCCCATGCTACCAGCACACTGTAAACCTGGAATCAGTCAGCGAGGGAAAAAATGTACCTTCCCACCTCCTCCTCGGGCAGTTACCGGGTGTGTGACTGCCAGCTGCTCCCTGGGACAAGTGGCGTCAGTTCTCAAGAGGAACTGCCCTGGTACGGGGATTTTTCTGGTCCCCGTCCCACGCGGAATGCTCTACCTGTCCACCCTGTCTCTAAGCAAGAGGTAGCATACCGAAATCGAAACAGGGAGTAGAGGCTGGTGACTCTGCCCTTTACTAGTCGCTTCCAAGAGACTGTTCTCCATTTCCTGACTGGAGGGATCAGGCACCTTTATCCTATGGACCTGACGTTCAGGGAAGAAGAGAGCGAGCTGCCAGACAGCAGAGTAGCAGCAGCAGAAGGGCTGTGAGAGAAGCCATGGCCTCCACAACAAAACAGGCTATCCGGGAGGATTCTTCCCTGAGCTCAGAAGGAACATGGCTTCTTTCATTGCCTTTCCAACTTTCAGAGGTTAAAAAGGAGCTGCTTCTTTCCTGCACACATCTTGAGAGCTGCAGTTTCATTGCCCTAAGAATGTTTTCTTCTTTCCAAGTTAACAGCATCCTTAAATAGCTATTTTTTTTTTTTCTCTGCTCATGTGGCCCCGTGCTTTCTAACCCTGTGCAGGCCAGAGTCTTCATTTCACTAGGAAATTTTTCTGTTCTCTTTTCATACCTCTGTATCTTTTTCGTATTAATATGCAATAGCTTTCTCTGATCGGTAAAGCGGTTTTCCATCAGCTGTCAAGGTGAAAGCAAGGGGATTAAGGTTCCTCTGATACATTCTTTTGGTATTACTTTAATGTTTTTTTCTAACTAAGGGGAACTCTTCTTATATGCTTCAGAACAAGTTTATATTTTTTGAATTACTGCATAACATGCATATATTTAATAATCTCTTAGAGCCAAAGATATTAATATGCCTTAATTTTTTTCTAGGCTGTGGGATTTTAATTTGTTTGAGAAAATGGTTCTCAGGCTTCTATTCTGCTTGCAGTATCTCTGTCCACTGTTCTAGGCCCATTAAGATATTATTTCTTTTTTATTTTATACTACTCCTTAATCTCGGTTGAGAATTTGAACTGGTATGAAATGCATTCTGTTATTCCTTGTCTGAATTCCTGAGATCCAGTCCGCAACCCTGGTTGGGCGAGGGTGCTGGTGAGCTTCTGGCGAGATGAGACTCCACCTTAGAAGAAGTGGGTTTGAAACACTCCTGCTGACCTTGTGTGGTGGGAGGTGGAGGAGTCAGAGGGCTGTCCCTTTGCTGAATTTGTGCATTAGCAGCTGGTGAATCATCATCCTGCTGGTCTTGTGTGCTGGGAGGAACAGCCGAAGACATGATGCCCTGAGGAGCAGCTGTTGAACCACTGTTGAGACAATTTATAACTAAGCTTGAGATATTAATATTAAATGTGCAATTACTACTGTTCTTAGTTTCCAAGCAGCAGTTTGTTTATTAGCTAGTTAACTAGTTTTCTTCACGGACACATTTCCCTTTTCCTTGCTTCACCTCAGCCTGATGGATCTGAGATGGTGACTTGTCTGTCTTGTTGGATTTGACTCCAAATTCCTTCTCTTAAATTGTAATCATATTCTGGGGAAGGGCCGAGGAGGTGGGCAGGGAAAGCGGAATGGCAAGGGAGGAGATCAAAATTGCAGTATCACCAGTTTTAAAAGTTAGTAACTTGTGTCTAAATTGTTAGTAAAGGTACTGCATGACAGGATTTTCTCTTGACCTCTCTCTGTACTTCATCGCTGGAAGGTCAACTGAAGGAGTAACAGTGAGATTATGAGCACTTTCAAATTCTCCTGATTTTCTTACAAAGAAAACTTGTGTCATCTGAGTTAAAGGAATCACCACCATTACCTAGACTACTTACAAGGTGCTTACATGCTTTTACAGTGAGGAAATTCTGGACAGATGTAAAATGAATCCATTGTAAATGCATTCTAATAATCATTCATTCAAGAGAGACTATGCAGGCTATTTTGCATTGGTTTCAGTGGATATTGGACAGGATTTTACATAAATGCTTATCAATAACAGACATAAAGACATTTTTAAGATACCAAGTTTAAACTGAAAGGCCTGTAGGCAGTATTAAAAAACAACCCAGAATTGTTATAGTGTTAGCTCAAGATCCTCCCATCAAGGCTTCAGAAATACTGTATCTGTAGATGAGAAGCTGTCCTGGTTTCAGCTGGGATAGAGTTAATTTTCTTCCTAGTAGCTGGCATAGTGCTGTGCTTTGGATTTAGTAGGAGAAGAATGTTGATAACACACTGATGTTTTTAGTTGTTGCTAAGTATTGTTTATGCTAGTCAAGGACTTTCCAGCTTCCCATGCTCTGCCAGGTGCCCATGAAACTGGGAGGGGGCACAGGCAGAAGAGTTGATCCAAACTGACCAAAGGGCTATTCCACACCATATGGCGTCATGCTCAGTATATAAACTGGGGGGGGGGGGTGGCGGGGGTGCACGCATCGCTGCAACTGTCTGGGTATTGGTCGTTGGGTGGTGAGCAATTATTGTGCATCACTTGCTTTGTATATTGTTATTATTGTATTGTTATTATTATCATTACTATTTTACTTTATTTCAATTATTAAACTGTTCTTATCTCAACCCAGGAGTGTTTCTCACTCTTACTCCTCCGATTCTCTCCCCCATCCCATCGGGGTAGGGGGAGTGAGCGAGCGGCTGTGTGGTGCTTGATTGCTGGCTGGGGCTAAACCACAACAGAAGCCTCAGGAATTAGCAACATTTATGGATTCTCTAATGAAGATAAAAAATGAAAATATAAAATATTTAAGATTGAATACTTTCAAAGAAGACAGAGTCTGTGTTTCTGTGCTGTTATTTTTACCACCAGTGTCAAGGACAAGGAAAAATACTACAGTGAATCAATGCACACTGTATGTTACAAATACAGAGGACCTTTGTTTTATGAAGCCTTCTCATCTCTAGGAGAAAAGCATTAACATAGTAAACTGTATTTTAGCCAGGCTGGTGCATTTGTTTATTGTTTCCAGATGAGTAAACCTGTGTATGTGGATTCTTCCAAGATATATTTTCTGAGTGTTTCTCAAGTAGTAATTCATAGACCACTGGTGGTCCATGGAGCACTTCCAGGTGGCTTAGAGAGGAATTTTAGTAGCAAAGCACTTCTGCTTTTCAAACAGTTCTGTCATAACATAGTCAAATATCTCGGGGTGGGGTTGGTTTTTTTTTGTTGTTGTTATGAAGTGTCTTACAGTTGCAAATACAGATTTTACAACATGCATGAGATAACTGAACTAGGAAGAAGTAAAATATTACTTCAGTATGGAAAGTCTAAGTAAGGACAAATCTGTTCTACCTGTCTAACTGATTTTAATCTCTCATCCTGTTCCTTGGTAATCTCTCATCCTGTTCCTTGTTAATCTCTTATCCTGTTCCTGAGGAGAGGCCGAGAGAGCTGGGACTGTTTAGCCTCAAGAAGGCTCAAGAGGATCTTATCTATATGTGTTAATATCTGATGGGAGGGTGTAAAGAAGATGGAGCCTCTCCTCAGTGGTGCCCAGTGGCAGGACCAGAGGCAATGGGCAGAAACTGAAACACAGGAGGTGCCTTCTGAACATCAGGAAACACTTTTTCACTGTGACTGAGCATTGGCACAGGTTGCCCAAAGAGGTTGTGGAGTCTCCCTCTTTGAAGATACACAACCCAACTGTACATAGCTCTGAGCAACCTGGTCTAGAGGGTTGGACTAGTCAATCTCCAGAGTTCCCTCCCAACCTCAACTATTCTGTGATGTGTACATTTGGTATGTGTGGACAGTACTATGCAAACAGCTGACTTCACTGCCAATAGGGATGAGTTCAGCAATTTTAGACTAGTCTTGTTCACAAGGTAAGAATGCCCAAAATAAGCAAGATGTTATTTAATAATTCCTCTGCCCCAATAATTTGGACTCTTCTGGCAGTAAAAGAATGCTTATTTAGCTCTCCTACAGTACTTTTATCAGTAGGTACAAAACAGGTGTGATTCTCCTTATCTTTACTTGTGGGTTAATTGAGGCACAACAGGTGACATGAAAATGGAATTGACTGGTCTCTGGAGAGCCTACAGAGAATAATAAGAGAAGTAAATAATGCCAAATCTAAAATAGACATATTGATCAAAGTAACTCCATGTGTTTACTTCTGTCTTCTCTTCCTGTAATTTAATAGTCTTGTGCTGCTTTGTTTAGAATGAACAACTTCTCTTTTTTTGTGCTGTAATGTTAAGCTGGACTGCTTCTGTATTATGTACTTTTTGTACAAAGTTATGAAAATATTTACCTACTTGGCAATGCATATATGAACATGTATCTTTATGGTAATTTTAAGGTTGCTTTTAGATTTTGTTACCACAGGGTAATATATGGAATTACACATTGCAGGCCACAATTTTTTTTTTAAGACTTACCAAAAGCTATGCTTCTGAAAAGCACCTGAGTTAAGATCTTTGCTTAAAATTGGCTTCTTGGTGCAATTGTTCAGTTTTTGTCCCATCATTCGCCTAATTAAAGCATCATCTGTGTTTGGAAACAACTGTTTTGTGATTCCTGCAAAATAAAGAGATATATAAGGCCTCCAAATCAGGCAAACCACAGATGTATGATCTAAAATGCATCTACTGCATCTTTAAAATTTACAGCTACTTCAGCTTCAGCTCTAGTTACTTTGCTGTCTTCACTCACTACTTCACAGAGTTTGCACATGCCAGCTCTTGCTTTTCTCTGTGCCTTCCATATTGCTGTGCCTGCTCTTGACAAACTCAGTGGCAACTCCAGGGCCACAAGGGCTTCCTGTAGTAATTGATTTATGTTCGCTCATCCTCTCTTCCTTTGTTTTGTTCTTGATCAAAGAGTCCTATTCCTATCCTCGTCAGTCCTCATGCCTCTGAATCTTACAGTTTGTGTTCGTTAATTTTCATTTGCAGGTGATGTCTCCTTCCCCAAACATTTCCCTTCTGTTTTGCCTGGCTAACTTTTTCTGAAGACAAGAAAACTAACAGGACTGAACATCAGGAATGCATCTCCTGCTCTCTCTTCTCCATCATCTTCCCTTCCCTTGATTTTTTTCCCCCTTTCATTTCCCTCTTCTTAAAATAATCTGATCTAACAACTCATTTTCTACAGTCCTAGAACTCCCAGGCTTCCTTCTCATTTTTCTTATTCTCTTGTATAATGTTGACACTTTTCTATTTGAATTCAGGAGTGTTCTCATTTCCCTTCACAAACTTCTTTGACTTCTCTATAGGCTTCCCTTTGTCACTGAATTGTCCGCAGCATGCTGTATTCAATGTCCTGGTTATCTTCTCTGCTTCCCTTTTCAGTTTTGCCTAGACCCTTCCCCAGAATCCACCTTTAGAAAAGTCACTAGTAGCTCTTAGAATCATAGAATCATTTAGGTTGGAAAAGATCCTTAAGATCATCGAGTCCAACTGTTCTTCTCATCCCGTGAAATTTTTAAAATTTGTCTCATACATCATTCTGAAATTGCCTCATCTTACCACCTCTAAATGTATTTTCACTACCTTACACACTTTTTCCTTTTCTCTCTCTTGACTTTGGGCCTTTTTCTCTAACTTGGTTCTTAAGGAAGACAGGTTTCTGCAACTGATAATGTTTGAAACTGCTGGCCAACTTCAGTAAAACTGGTCCAAGGTACAGGAACTGGAGCTAAGCTGGGAAGGGAACCGAGGGAACTGGGGAAGTCCAAGGGAATGGCAATGGGTGAGGTATTCTAGTACAGGAATTTAGGCCATGTTGCTCAAGTATTAAGCTATAGGTGTGAATCCAATAAAAATCAGGCTTCATGTGCTCACAAAATACTGTTTTCTTTAAAGCTGCTGCTTCCATCTGAAATGATTCTCCTTCCTATGCACCAAACATTTTTTGCCTTAAACCTCAGCATAGAACAAATTTTGTTTGCTTCTCTGATCACTGTTCCTGTCTTCTATACTTATTGTCTCATTCTGCCTCCAGCGCTATTTAAAATGTCAGAATTCATAGCATTCACTAGCTTCAGAATATAGCAGACAGTATTTTAAATTTGATCCAAGTGTGTCCTCTCTTTGCCTTCCCTTACCCATTAATTGTCATACTCCAAGTCTGACTGTTGTAGATTAACCTTTCAAAGGCTAAAAAAGTTCATAATATCACTGTGCTGAGTAGCCACTTAGGTAAAAACCACAAAATTCACACAATAGAAATACTACTACTTAGCATATCACTGACAGTATTTGTAACAGATGGGTTAAAAAAGTATGTAGCTAAGAAGGAAATATGAAACAGCACATCACCTGAGTAGACCAGCTGTTAAGCATTACAGCCCCTCCCTCAGAGAAAGCCCTCTGTCAAGTCAGTGCCACATTAAGTAATGTTAACAAGTAATCACCTATGATTTCCTGAACTTCATTCTGATTCATAGCTGGTTTCGCTGCTTTATCCTTTGAAGAGGAGGACTTTGCACCTGTCAGGCTGTGTGTAGCCATGTATTCATGTGTGTAAAGTGCTTGCATCAAGTCATTTATAAACTTTTGAGGTTTGCTCTTGTTACAAAGTGCAATCTGCCACTTTTCGATCTTGAACTGGAAAACAAAATTGGTCATAGGCATAACTATTGCAGTTCTCTAGAAATATTATATAGCATTACCTCTGAAATATTTTTTTCATTTTCCTTTTTTAAACCACAATTTCAAAAAGTGATCTCTGCAAACTGTGTGCTTGAGATCAACGCTAAACTTGCATACCGCTCAACGTTTGCAACTGTACATGCAGGTTGATTTTTTGTTGGAAGCAAATGTGGGGCAGACTAAGGACCCCGTTCATCCTAGCAAACACTTCACCGAGCAACCCTTACTGCTCACTAGTGGAGACAGGACATGTTCAGACGTATCTAAATCCTTCTGCTTGCACTCCATGCAGGCTGGCTCTTATCCAGTTCTGGCATGGATTCTGTTACAGCCTTGGGAGCATGGCACTGTGCACACGCTAATATTCCTGCCTCCAAACAGATATGCACTAAGAACTGTGACATCTGGTCCTGGGCTTTGAGAGTGACTTCTATATACAGCACTTGTACAGCCTAAAAGTATTTGAACTCTCCAAATGGGCAATTTTGAGCTACCTCAAGTAAGGCTAGGTTGCTTAGAAAATTAGGTCTTTTTTTATTTCTTTGGAGATGTTAGGTCAAATTTTGAGTATTGCAACATTCAGTCAAAACATCATAGCTTGATAATTCTTAACGGATTTCTTTGTTTTTTTAGGACCCCATGACAACACACGAGAATGATTTCCATGGACTGGCATGACTCAGTGCGTAAGAATGCTGATGTAAATTGTGAATGCAGAAGCTAGAATTATTCTTTTGATTGGGTCTTTAAATTTTTCATGTACAGCCTCTGTGCCTGAGATTTCTCAGTTATGCTCTGTTATAATTACAGAGAATAGGGGAACATCTTTACTCAGTATCTCTCTCTATATATACACATATTTCTACTTAACGGCTCGCTAGTGTCTGGAACAAGGGGAGAAAGATACCATTCTCAATTTACTCATTAACAGTTTAAACAGACTGCTGGTATTTTTCTCAGATTATCTCTGAAACACTACCACTCCCCTTTGGCATCCAAAGCATTAGGCTGGAAGTTATCCCTGGATCTTAGTATTTTCTTCATGCATCTGCATTCTGCCCTTAGTCACAGATGTGCAAAGCCACTGAAATCAAAGCGAGTTTGAGAGTGTACCAGCACACTGAGTTAAGTAAGTCAAGTGTTTCTCGTAGAAAGAGCCTTCTGCACAAACGGAGCTCATTAGTCACGCCATCAACTGAATGATGATTAAATGATTCTTACTGATGCTTATTTTTTATATTTGTTATACTATAACAGTAAAGTTTGTACTGTATAAAGTTTTAATTCTTATGCCAGAAATTGCCTTTTAACTGACCTGTTTTTCAGTCTGTTGCTCTTCATCTTCCACATTCAGAGTTATTGGTGAGCTGGAGTTACTATGCATAGCTGCGTAGGAATCTGCTAACGGATTGTTAGATGCTTTCCAAACAGCATGTGAATGCAGACTGGATGTAGATGATGTTACTCCCCCTTTGAGCAGTGCTTCAGCCATCCCTACCAGTTCCTCAAAATGGGTGACTGCCTGTGGCAACACTGAAATCAAACGGAAAGTGATGGGTAAAAGTAATAGAAGCTTTCAGACTATAATTACATAAGGATGTATATTTTTGTAATTAGATTCCCGTCGTACTGCAAAAGAGTCAAAGGAGTCAGCAAAAACGCTCTAACGTACTTTTTTCCTATTCTCGCAAAGCTTTTCCTGCCATTCTGCTGTCCCCACCCATGAAGATCTGGCCTCTGTTTTTAGAACAGGATAGATCAGTTCTCTGCAGAGCTAAGAGGAACCATTAGTTTATGCCTATCATGGCACTAAGCTGCCTATTTCTCTTTTTTCTTTTTGTTGTCTCAAAATCTCTACAAGTCTGTAAAGCTATTGAATATGGGCTAAGTAATGTTATGTCTGTTTTTTTTTTTCTTCAAAGAAGTTACATAGACTGCATAGACTTTTCCTCTTTTTTAATCTATAGAGAATATCTTTTAAATGGCCCTTTCTCCGAGTACTATTTATTTTCAAATATAAACTTTTAATGGGTCCATTAAGAAGAATCAATTCAGCAGAGCGAAAAGGATGCAAGGGCTGAAGAATCAGCAAGACAGAATCACTGAATTATTAGAAAACACTGTCAAAGACTAATACAAGTGCTTAAGATGTAAGGCAAATAGACCTAAATGTGTAAGAAAAGTTGTTGGACACTAACAAAATGTTTAAAAATAATATTCAGAAAAGTAGAGATGAATGATTCAAACCAAGAGGAATAACATATGGAACAGAATCAGGTGGGCAATGAAACTGATATGCACTTGCAAAATCATGTGACAATAAAATGATAGAAACTATGCTGTCTAGGGATGGTATGACATAGCTGGCAAGAAGTAGCAAATCCTCTTTAAACCTTAGTTTAAACTAATGTTTTGAAATTTTGGGTTCAGTCTTGGCTGCCCCAGAGTAAGGGACAGGGACAAGTAAGAGGGGCTTCAGAGGTGATCACTAAGTGATGAAGGATTCATTTATAAAAGAACAAAATGGCTCACCTCTGGGAAAGGGCTAAATTTGTTGTACCTGGAACTAACTCAGATTACCAATAATGAGGAATTGCTAAAGTAATTAGAAATTAAATCATTCCAGAATAAAGAAAATCTCAGTAGATCAAGAATAACTTAATAAATAAGGTTAGTTGGACTGCTCAGTGGAGCGTTTGAGCTTAGCTGATGGTTATACACAGCATACAGAAAGGTTCTCTTGGGTGCGACTGACAGCATTTAGACAGATTTTTCCATTTCTAACTCTATGATTGCATGGCCTCTGTGTACGACAGTTTTTTCTAAGTGCTGCTGGAATTAAATGTTGCCATGTATCAAAGACACTGATGCTAATGGTAGGCCTTGATCATGTCAGGTGCTTCAGCATCCATAATTCCCGTCCAAATGGCCTCTTATAAATCAAGCTTTTCATGACCTTCAGACTTTCCTCTTCATTAAAATACTTCCCCTGACTTTACCTTGAAGCATCACCAGGGACTGCCTTAGGCGGCAGTTTTCTCTCATGGTGTCTGTCAGCTTCCTCTTGAGACTTTTTATTTTGGCACAAAGTTCTACCTTGGATAGTTGAAATAAAGGCTCTTCATCATCACTGCTACTTTCACTGTACAGAAAGTTGCTCCCTGAATATGTTTCTCTCTGGAAAAAAAAGCCCAAAACATGCTATCTAGAGCAACAACAACATAAAATTAAAGCATTAAAACTAACATTAAAATATCTGGCTAAATCAGAATATTCTCTTTGTATGCAGAATGTATAAACAGACTTGGTGCATTTTAATAATAGCTGTTACTGAACCTAGATATCACCATTCATATTAAAATTCAAAATGAAATGTCAGGGTAATACATAACTGCTAGGTACTGCTCTCTCTGTTCTCCATTCACCAATTTTCTAAGGTAGTGCCTTTTAGAACCATTAACTTCACTAAACAAAAGTCTTATGCACCCCTAAACAAATACATCTCAGTTTGCTTTTGCTTAATGTATTAAAATTGCTGAAGATGAGATGTTTACCTGTTTGTTAATTAAAGATGTTTCAAGTTGACTCAGGATGTTGGCAGGAGCAGATGCCTGTAATGATTTCTTTCTTTTTATATGCTTCATCATCTTCCCCTGAAACAAGAGCATAATACTGCCTTTGCATTCCTAGAGAGCCTTTTGTTACAGTATCTTGTGGTATACCATAAACTTTTATTCACTGTGGACTTGACATTCTTGGTTAGTATTTTTTAAAAATAAGTTTATAACCTTTTGTTAAGATTTATGTTTTCTCTCCCCACATTTTGTCACTACAGATCTCAGCACAATGCAAAGCTCAGAAAACCTGGTCCCTTTCCTTCCTTATGCAGTGGTCAGATTTCTGTCTTATGGGAGAAAATATAGTCTTGAATAACACTTCTCTCTTTAAATAGCAAAGGACAAAATCTATTGGCCTAACTAATTACTCTGACAAGTTATTGTGCTGAGGTACCATGTGAAGATTGTCTGTATTCCTACCTTTACTCTATATGTTTTGTGTATTATATTGTGAATAATCAATAGTTATGGTCTATTTCATTCCATTATGGGCCTACCAATATCACGCACATAAAGACAGAAACTTACCTGTTCTTTATCCAGGTCACTGTCTTCACTCTCTGAGAATATCATTTCTATCCTCTTCCTCTTGCCTTTTCCAAGGACTTGTATTTTTGTAATTTCATCCGCTCGTAATATCTTTTGCATCATTTCCACCAGCTCTTGGGGGTCATCTGAAGTGATGGAAAAAAAAGGCCAAAGCACAGAAAATCAGGTAGCAATACCTTACAACTAGATTAAAATTTCATATCAGACAAATGCTCTGGAACTGTACTCACCACTCATGTACACAACTTTCACCAGGTGCTTTTCTGTCTGTCTTTCTCCCACAGGCCAGTTTACTAGCACGTGCTCATTTGGTTTCAGAAATCTTTCTAGTTCATTGTCATCACTGGGAAGGTCCTGTATCCATGAAGTCTCTCCAATTTGCAGTGAATTATCATTTACAAAATCAAACAGTGTGAATTTTTTCATTGTTAAGTGGTTTTCTTGTCACACAGACACCGCCTAGGGGACGTCATAGGAAAAATAGCTGTTAACCATGTCATGCCACAGGAATGTTACAAGAATACTTTAAAAAGCCCCAAACAACCCTCCTATTCCTGGATTTTGGTAATTACCTTGTATGAAAATATCCTGGATAAGGAAGTGAAAACTAGTCAAGCAGCGTGTTCTATCTCCCCTGAAAGATGGGAGATGATCTGTTCAATACATGTACATAAAGACAGTTGCCTCCAAAACTATGCACAGAAAACAGCTTTCACTCAGAGCCCTTGCTTCCATATTACTACCATGCCTAATCCATCTCCTGCCCAGGATCTCCATTACTACTACATTTGCCCCAACAGAAGTTTTCAGTCCAGCCTCTGACTGAGAAATACAGGTGTGATAACTTTCCCTAGAATGAGGGAAGGTACTAGCTCTATGTGCTATTAAAAGGGATATATGACTTCCAGGACTGTATTAATCATCCCACGGGCAGCAAGATGTACAATTGCAGCCACGAAAAACCAACCCAGAACAACGCAGGACAGCTGACTGGATGAGGTTTGACATGTTCTGGCAGTGGAAAACTTGACGTACAAAAGAAATGATGGGCTGAGGACTGGCAGAGAGCTGGGCTGCTTCACGAAGAATAACAGCAACAAGGAGAACCCAGACCCAAATATACAGCTAAATCCTTTGCCTACATAGAACAATATTTTTAAAGCAAAGGACCATTTCTGGGCTTTTTAAAGCACTGAAGTTCCACACTGGGAAAAGGGAACAAGTCATACTTTGGGCTTTATTTTTCTAATTAAGCTGATATGCCTTACATGAATGTGTGAAATGTAACACACTTTAATAAACTCTAGTGAAAATGTAACCAGTTCATTCAAGTGCTTCCATTATACTCAGAGAAGAGATTTTCTATTTTAAAATTATTAAATCAGATAAAACCAATAAATAGAAAACCTGATTTTGCCAAACCTTGGTCTTCTTTCCAACAAACATACGGTTTGGCCTGTCAGTTCATAGAGGTGAGGTGATTTTACAGAGCTACAAACTCATGAATTCCCAGATGTGACAGTGTGATTTGCGATTTACTTGGCCTCAATCAGTCGGAAGCAAATCTAGTGCCTCACGCAGAGGCTGTCAAAAAGGTAACTCAGAGCTAGGAAGGGAGAATTACGTGGAGCTATTATGTCAAAGTGAGAAAATCTGGCTGCAGTGCTCCAAGAAGCAATGTCAATTTGTTTGCAAAAGCCCAGCTCACCACTATTCACCATGTCTGTGCTACGCCTCAGAAGAGCTGGTTTTTCACACAGGGGTAAGCTTGTTAATTTGTGAAAGACAGCTGCGCTCTTGTCAACATGTTTACTGATACAATGAGGCAAGTAGCGTAAGAAATAGCCATTAAAAAGCATATTAAATCATGCTTTTATGCAGAATGTGTTGAGTGTGATAGCAGTAGGTTTGTTAAGTACTGCTTTGCTTAAGAAAGGAGACTGTGTTTGCAAGAATTCACATTAATTTTCTTTAAAGCAAGTTAAAAAGACTGGGAAACATCCGTGCCATGTAAATTCTGGAGAGGAAGCCGCCTGAATGTCTATGCCTAGCATGAATCACCGGAGGCCTCATTCTGCCACTGACCCATGCCGAGCAGATCCTCACACCACAGAAAGGGATCATTCAACAATTTAAAACAGCCTGTCCGTGCAATCACATTGACCATTAGTGTTTTTCCTTCTTTCTCGAACCGCTTTTGAGTATATACCCCAATCAGCTTAACGTTTCTCATCTGGCACGAAGACATTAACTTCTGCCTCTGATCAACCCAGGACAACAATCCCCATCACAGAGTTCTTTGATTCTCAAATGAAGTACTTTGAGTTTTCCCCTCCTTGGCCCTCGGCAGTTGCGAGCTACTTCATTACCCTCCTAAAAGCCCACATAAGGTCAGCAGAATTGCAGCAAAGTTGGAACTGCCAGTGTGCTAAGATTAACAGCTGACTGACTGACTTCTATATTTTTTTTTGAATGTTTCCCTGTAGTCCTCTGACAGTTTGTATCTTGTCTCTCATTTTTGTATTGAGACAAATATTCTCTGAGCCGTGGAACGTGCTTGTGGCCTGCGCTTGTACAGGGTTAGGAAGCCAGCCTGGGATTTCCAGGGGCGCACTGAATACGGAGGCTGTTTCCAGCATGGAGGGTGCACGATGATTCCCCACGGCACTGGGGCTATTCGCATACACGCTGTGCCAACCGAGCACATCGGGAGCAAGTCCAACAGCTTTTGGAAGGTATCAGACTTGCGTATGTGTTATACAGCTTAATGAAGTCAGTGGACACGTGGACTTCTGGATGTTTGGAGCCCATGACAGCAGCCTGGTGCCACTGGTAGACTCTGTGAAGCACGTGGCCAGCAAGATCCCTCGCACAGTCTTTACACCAGGCAAGCACCTGGATCCACGAAAATCCATCCCGCTGCTCAAAGCTAGGGACAATTTCTACCATGGTCACAGCAGGACTCAGAGCTCAGCAATTTGTCTACGTTATCTATAAAGCTCTTTTGAGCTGTAAAGATTCTTGCCTGTGGTGGGAGGGTGTACCAGTAAACAGCTAAACTGATTTCACCAAGAGTCTTAACAGCTGCCAAGTTAAAACATAAGCTACATTGGATGCTGAGAGAAATAAGGAATAGATTTCACAAATAGTCATGGAGGAGGGATAGGGCTGATCCACTCCTTTAGCTCCCGGCAAGATTCCGAAAGCCTCGCGGCAGCTTTCCGAGGCGTGTGCTCAGTGCTGTCGCTCCTGCTGCTTTTGAAGGGGCCAAGGCAGGGAAGCAGTTGTGGGGCAGCAACAGAGACTGGCCAGGTCCCTTCTCCTCTGCTGCAGCTCTGCTGGGCATCAGCTCAACTGCTTGCACTACAAATCAAATGACGAAATTATTGCATTGCCAAATAAAAGGAACAGAGTGCAGTAGTTGATTGTTAGTATTTTTCTGTTGTGGAGCTATGGCTTCAGCTCCTGCAGTAGACATTAATCAAACTACGTTTTTTCACAGAATTTATTGTGACAGTCCCTGGGCCCTGGGGATAATACCTAACTGTCTGCTGGCATCATCTCTAGCCAGTGATTACAGGGAATGGAAGGGTAGAACAAAATGTCTCTAATGAGGAAAAGGAACAGTAAAATGCTCCACTTACTGGAAGAGAAGTCCTGCAGTGTTTTCTCACCCTGTTCTCCCACTGGAGTCAATGTGAACCTTGTCTGAGTCAGGATTCTCGCAGATGCCTCCCTCTAAAATGTTTTATTTGCCAAAACAGATCAAAGGCAAGAAATACTGTATCGTCAGGAAAGAAAAAGATCTGGGGGAGTGGGATTAATCTTACCAACTTTTACTGCCTTAAAATTGAGAGGTTGTCTAGCCACGTTTGGCTCAGTCACCGCAGAAAGAGAGGTGATTCATCTCACCCTAAGACACGTATCTAAAAGACAGCAGATGACTTACGGTCTGGGAGAGCCTATTTCTCTCCACTGACTACTCAGTGACTATACAATATGTCTCCTTATAGAAGCTGGCTTGGTCCAACTCACCCTAAATTAGCTGCTTCTATTTTTGAATAGATTTTGAATAGTAGGATAGATTCCAGTGGTCCTTCTGCTATAGGGAGCCAAAAGGATGGAGTATGAAGTCTCTTAAAGCGTATCTGGTTCTCTGTTTTAAGTCTTTCTAACACAGTTCTGCAAGTCACCAAGTAAGATTTCTGACACTGAGTGCTTTGTTCAGTGGTTTAGTTGGAAGATATATAATCGCTCACACACATCACCCTGTGTGCTGCTACTAACCACAGAGACAGAATTACATGACCTTTGAAAGCCACTTATGTTTTGCAAGTCACTTAATTCTGCTATATCCTCCATTTGAAAACACTAGCTACTTATTTGAGAAGTACAGAAATGAAAATTTATGATTTATCACTGTTCTAAGACACAAATCTGTCTTTACTTTTTCTAAAAGCAGGTAATTTGTAGAAGGGGGGGGAGAAGAAACAAGCCATTTAATTTTAAAGCTCTGCAAAGGAAACATTAATTGGACTTAATTTTTACAAACATGTTAACACCTCACATTCTGCACAGATGCTACAAATTTGCACACAGAATATCGTTACTAAGCAACCCAAAAATCCAGAACAACAACAAAAAAAACCCAACGCCACAAAGTCATTTAAAGACCTATATCGCCCTTTGACTGACATAGTCTGTTCCATTCAGCTGGAGAGAGTTGGCAGATGGCATGCTGAGATCATTATTTCTCTTTCCTTTCAGTAAACGCAGTGTAAAGTATTACAAATTTACAACATGAGATTGTAGGCCCACTCAATGCATCTGATTCTGCCAGCTTAAAATAGGGCTTTGCCACCGATTTCAGCAAAACAAGAAACTGTACCACAACCAGGCAACACAGATCCATAATAAAGTACTAACATTTTATATTGTCTACACTCTAAGTTCAGCCTTCAATAATCCCAGTTTTCCTTGGAAAAAAACAAAAAAAAACCCTTTACTGGGCTATACATTCATCTGCCTCACTCAAAACTATTTATTTCCAATTCAGCGTAATGAGTGGTAGTCACAGGTTTGGTTTGTGGCATTTTACA